CCATGGACCTGGAAGAACCATGGAACCATAGACCGGGTGGAACAACGGAACCATAGACCTGGCGGAACCATGGAACCATAGACCTGGCGGAACCATAGACCCATGGAACCATAGACCTGGCAGAACCATGGACCATGGCGGAACCACGGAACCATAGACCGGGTGGAACCATGGAACCATAGACCTGGCAGAACCATGGACCTGACGGAACCATGGAACCATAGACCGGGCAGAACCATGGAACCCTAGACCTGGCAGAACCATGGAACCCTAGACCTGGCAGAACCATGGAACCATAGACCTGGCTGAACCATGGAACCATAGACCTGGCGGATCCATAGACCTGGCGGAACCATGGAACCATAGACCTGGCAGAACCATGGACCTGACGGAACCACGGAACCATAGACCGGGCAGAACCACAGAACCATAGACCTGGCGGAACCATGGACCTGGCAGAATCATGGAACCATAGACCTGGCAGAACAATGGACCTGGCGGAACCATGGAACCATAGACCTGGCAGAACCATGAAACCATAGACCTGGCAGAACCATGGAACCATAGACCTGGAGGAACCATGGAACCATAGACCTGGAGGAACCATGGACCTTGAATAACCATGGACCTGGTGGAACCATAGACCTGGCGGAACCATAAACCATAGACGTGGCGGAACCATGGAACCATAGACCTGGCAGAAATATGGAACCATAGACCTGGCAGAAATATGGAACCATAGACCTGGCAGAACCATGGAACCATGAACCTGGGAAGAACCATGGACCTGGCGGAACCATAAACCTGGTGGAACTGCGCAACCATGGAACCAAACCTGGCAGAACCATAGACCTGGCAGAACCATGGACCTATAGACCTGGAAGAACCATGGAGCCATGGACCTGGAAGAACCATGGACATGTGTGTTACCTCTCGTTGCGATTACAGCGACTTACCACTCACGTAACTTTGTATCATGGGGGTTAAATCCTCCCTCCAGCCTCCCCTTCAGTCTTGCCCAGTTGTAGCGGTTCCTCTCCTGGACTGAAACGGCTTAGGCTGGCCATACATTATACAATTTTCTGTCCAATTTCTGCTCAATTTCCTTTAGATTTCCCTTCAACTATGTAGTACAAGGGCCCGCCTGATTGGATACATTGAAAGTGTTGTTTAGGTCTGACCTCATATTTTATGGTTTTTGGTAAATCTAAAGCAAAACTCTCAAGAAAATTGTATAATGTATGGCCAGCCTTAGTCTACGTTCTACTGCCGCATTTTGCACAAACGCACAGCAGTCCATTTATCATGATTTCCTATGGGGCAGGTTCACATCTCTGCATTTTCACCCGCTGCGTTTTTTTGGAAAGGCTCAGGGACTTTTTTTTTAAACACAAAACATTGCCTTTTTTGTTCTATAGACTTCAATGGAGACGCTGCAGAAGAGCATGTAGTGCGTTTTTGATACGTATTGCATTTTAATCTGCCCAGCAACAAACTGGAAAAAAACGCAAAGCGCATCAAACATGCATGTGCAAAAACGCATTGTAGAAATTGATCAAAGCAAACTGCATGGGTGTGACCCTAGCCTGACTCCAATTTCATTGCACACTGTGAGCTTCTCACAATGTGCATTAGAAGCTACAGCAAGTCAAAGCTCCACCTCCTGGAAGACACCCAGCATCATCTAGCTCCTTCCTCCCCAGCCCAACTGTCCCTGGTCCCACCCCTTTCCTTCATTAGATATCAGTTCTTTCAACGATGGAGTCTCAGGATCCCATGTGGACATTACCCAGGGTGGTCTCTATGCAAGTACAGTGTGCCCAGAGCGCTCACTCCTCCAGAATGACATCCATCTAGCAAGGCAATTTGCATAACTCCTCCCAAAACACAGTCCACTACTTGCATCAGAATGGAGGTGTCGCAATCTGGCGCCATATAACCATTTTCTGCATTTCTCTGGGATTCTACATAGACCACAAATACAGTTTTACATGCAGATGTAGCCTACAGTATGTCCAATCAGAAGGAAGTATTTTCATCTCTTTGCAACTAATATTTTAGCTTTTATGAGAGATGAAAAAATATTCCTTTGATCTGCTGATATACTTTAAAGCTCCCCAGACACATGGGAACCACCTCTGGTCTCCCGCTGTGTCATGAAGCTGAACTGTCTGAGCCTTTTCCTTCCAGATTTCTCATAAGGTGACAAATCTTATTGTCATCCAGGTGTCGCCTCCTTCCAGTGGAAGCTCTGTCCCTTTCAGATGCTAATGGGTGACCATATGTCTCTGACTGAATTCTGAACACATCTCATAATAACATGGAATGAGCTAAATCTACAATGTCATATTTTCAACAGATCACATCTCAGCTACTCAAATCTTTACATTTATGTTACAGGAGGACTCTTGAAAGGAGTGCTGCGTAGGGTTGTCACCTCATCCCTTTAAACCCAAACACACATTAACCTCTTGGCGCCGGCCAAACGCAAATGTGCGGCCTCCCGGGATCTGGGCCTAGACGCCGAGCGGCTGCAAATTTGCGTTTTATTACAAAAAACATATGTGCTGAGAGCGTAAACCCTGCGCACTCCCAGCACACACGTTCAGTGCTCACGGAAAGGTCCCGATCTCCCCTTTCGATCGGGACCTTTCCCAATCATGTGACAGCCGTTACAGCGAATCACGGCGGTCACATGACCCTAAAACTCCTCCCCGCTTCTGGAACCCTTAAAGGGCCAGGAGGCGCCGGCGCCAAGGGGTAATGACACAGGTTCTAAGGCTGATTTAATGCAGATAAGCCACTTTCATTAGCCTCGGAACCGGTGTCACCAATATGTGTTCGGGTTAAAAGGGATGAGGTGGCCACCCTAGTACTGAGGTCAAGTGCTGTGAGGTTTTCAGGAAGCTATGTACGACCCTTCCCACCAGCCATGATCTGCCTGCATTGCATAAAGAAGCACAGAGACCCAGTGATGGCATTGGTGAGTCTAGGGGGGATTTAATGAAAATTAAAAAGATTTTACTTAACCTCTTCACGTCGGCCGAACGCAAATGTGCGGCCTCCAGGCGTCTGGGTCTAGGCGCCGAGCGGCTGCACATTTGCGTTCTATTAAAAAAGAACATACGTGCTGAGAGCGCGTGCCCTGCATGCTTCCAGCACACATGTCCGGTACCTACGGAAAGGTCCCGATCTCCTCTTCCGATCGGGACCTTTCCCGATCATGTGACATCATGACAGCATCGTGACGATCATGACAGCATGTCACGGTGGTCACATGGTCCTAAACCCCGCCCCGCCTCCCGACTTCTGAAACCCTTAAAGGGCCGGGAGGCGCCGGCGCAAAGGGGTTAAACATTTCAGAGGAGGAGGAGAGGAACCGGGGAAAGCAAATATAAACCATATAAACCAATGAAACTTCAGTTTTAAAGGACAAGTTAACCCAACAACCTCTGAGCTACGAATGTCGCCCTGATCTGGGTCAGGACAGAGTTTGTTGTCCCGTCACAAAGATGAGGACTGAAACCCTAACTGAGTTATATTTTCCCTACACCCATCCCCCATCATAGTAGCTGCATTATTCTAATTTTCTGTGGATTTTACACTATAATGTGCAATTAAAATGGATCTGCCCAGAAGCCATCGCATCAGAAGTGCGTACTGCGCTGTCCACCATCGCCAGTAATAAAACGATCGTCTTCTCCGCGTTAACTGCTGGACCCCTTTCATGTGGGATAATAGGCTGGGAGATGAAAGGTGTATTCTGGGTAATAGACATGCTGATCTGTTTATATAAAACAATTACATGTGTTCTTGTTGTTGGCGCCCCATCCTGTGCCTTGTGCTCAGCTGGCTTCCAGCGTTCATATCATAAGAGAAAGGAAATGTCGGCATTCAGTGTTGGTACTCCCAGTCCTGAGACTCCCTCTGTTATAGGCAGCATCTCCACTAGTACATCTCTGACCATCTACTGTATCATGTCTGCAGTCTCTGACCATCTCTTGTATCATATCTGTAGTCTCTGACCATCTCCTGTAGTATGGCTGCAGTCTCTGACCATCTCCTGTATTATATCTGCAGTCTCTGACCATCTCCTGTATTATATCTGCAGTCTCTGACCACCTCTTGTATCATATCAATAGTCTCTGACCATCTTCCGTATCATGTCTGCAGTCTCTGACCATCTCTTGTGTCATGTCTGCAGTCTCTGACCATCTTCCGTATCATGTCTGCAGTCTCTGACCATCTCTTGTATCATGTCTGCAGTCTCTGACCATCTCCTGTATTATATCTGCAGTCTCTTACCATCTCTTGTATCATGTCTGCAGTCTCTGATCATCTCTTGTATCATATCTGTAGTCTCTGACCATCTCTTGTGTCATGTCTGCAGTCTCTGACCATCTCTTGTTTCATGTCTGCAGTCTCTGACCATCTCCCGTATCATGTCTGCAGTCTCTGACCATCTCTTGTATCATATCTGTAGTCTCTGACCATCTCTTGTGTCATGTCTGCAGTCTCTGACCATCTCTTGTTTCATGTCTGCAGTCTCTGACCATCTCCCGTATCATGTCTGCAGTCTCTGACCATCTCTTGTATCATGTCTGCAGTCTCTGACCATCTCCTGTATCATATCTGCGCTCTCTGACCATCTCTTTTATCATGTCTGTAGTCTCTGACATCTCTTGTGTCATGTCTGCAGTCTCTGACCATCTCCCGTATCATGTCTGCAGTCTCTGACCATCTCTTGTATCATAGCTGCAGTCTCTGACCATATCTTGTATCATGTCTGCAGTCTCTGACCATTTCGAGTATCATGTCTGCAGTCTCTGACCATATCTTGTATCATGTCTGCAGTCTCTGACCATTTTGAGTATCATGTCTGCAGTCTCTGACCATCTCTTGTAAAATGTTTGTATAATCTGACCATCTCTTGTGTCATGTCTGCAGTCTCTGACCATCTCCCGTATCATGTCTGCAGTCTCTGACCATCTCTTGTATCATGTCTGCAGTCTCTGACCATCTCCTGTACTATGTCTGCAGTCTCTGACCATCCCCTGTACTGTGTCTGCAGTCTCTGGTCATCTCCTGTACTGTGTCTGCAGTCTCTGGTCATCTCCTGTACTATGCCCGCAGTCTCTGGTCATCTCCTGTACTATGCCCGCAGTCTCTGGTCATCTCCTGTACCATGTCTGCAGTCTCTGACCATCCCCTGTATCATGTCTGCAGTCTCTGACCATCTCCTGTATTATATCTGCAGTCTCTTACCATCTCTTGTATCATGTCTGCAGTCTCTGATCATCTCTTGTATCATATCTGTAGTCTCTGACCATCTCTTGTGTCATGTCTGCAGTCTCTGACCATCTCTTGTTTCATGTCTGCAGTCTCTGACCATCTCCCGTATCATGTCTGCAGTCTCTGACCATCTCTTGTATCATATCTGTAGTCTCTGACCATCTCTTGTGTCATGTCTGCAGTCTCTGACCATCTCTTGTTTCATGTCTGCAGTCTCTGACCATCTCCCGTATCATGTCTGCAGTCTCTGACCATCTCTTGTATCATGTCTGCAGTCTCTGACCATCTCCTGTATCATATCTGCGCTCTCTGACCATCTCTTGTATCATGTCTGTAGTCTCTGACCATCTCTTGTGTCATGTCTGCAGTTTCTGACCATCTCTTGTATCATAGCTGCAGTCTCTGACCATATCTTGTATCATGTCTGCAGTCTCTGACCATTTCGAGTATCATGTCTGCAGTCTCTGACCATATCTTGTATCATGTCTGCAGTCTCTGACCATTTTTGAGTATCATGTCTGCAGTCTCTGACCATCTCTTGTAAAATGTTTGTATAATCTGACCATCTCTTGTGTCATGTCTGCAGTCTCTGACCATCTCCCGTATCATGTCTGCAGTCTCTGACCATCTCTTGTATCATGTCTGCAGTCTCTGACCATCTCCTGTACTATGTCTGCAGTCTCTGACCATCCCCTGTACTGTGTCTGCAGTCTCTGGTCATCTCCTGTACTGTGTCTGCAGTCTCTGGTCATCTCCTGTACTATGCCCGCAGTCTCTGGTCATCTCCTGTACCATGTCTGCAGTCTCTGACCATCCCCTGTATCATGTCTGCAGTCTCTGACCATCTCCTGTATTATATCTACAGTCTCTTACCATCTCTGTGTATCATGTCTGCAGTCTCTGATCATCTCTTGTATCATATCTGTAGTCTCTGACCATCTCTTGTGTCATGTCTGCAGTCTCTGACCATCTCTTGTTTCATGTCTGCAGTCTCTGACCATCTCCCGTATCATGTCTGCAGTCTCTGACCATCTCTTGTATCATATCTGTAGTCTCTGACCATCTCTTGTGGCATGTCTGCAGTCTCTGACCATCTCTTGTTTCATGTCTGCAGTCTCTGACCATCTCCCGTATCATGTCTGCAGTCTCTGACCATCTCTTGTATCATGTCTGCAGTCTCTGACCATCTCCTGTATCATATCTGCGCTCTCTGACCATCTCTTGTATCATGTCTGTAGTCTCTGACCATCTCTTGTGTCATGTCTGCAGTCTCTGACCATCTCTTGTATCATAGCTGCAGTCTCTGACCATATCTTGTATCATGTCTGCAGTCTCTGACCATTTCGAGTATCATGTCTGCAGTCTCTGACCATCTTCTTGTATCATGTCTGCAGTCTCTGACCATTTCGAGTATCATGTCTGCAGTCTCTGACCATCTCTTGTATCAAACCATCTCTTGTATCATGTTTCTATAATCTGACCATCTCTTGTGTCATGTCTGCAGTCTCTGATCATCTCCCTGTATCATGTCTGCAGTCTCTGACCATCTCTTGTATCATGTCTGCAGTCTCTGACCATCCCCTGTACATGTCTGCAGTCTCTGGACCATCTTCCTGTACTATGTCTGCAGTCTCTGGTCTCTCCTGTACTATGTCTGCAGTCTCTGGTCATCTCCTGTACTATGTCTGCAGTCTCTGGTCATCTCCTGTACTGTCTCTTGTATCATGTCTCAGTCTCTGTCATCTCCTGTCTGTGTCCGCATCTCTGTATCTCCTGTATATATCTGTCCGCAGTCTCTGTCATCATGTCCTGTACTGTGTCCGCAGTCTCTGGTCATCTCCTGTACTGTGTCCGCAGTCTCTGACCATCTCCTGTATCATGTCTGCAGTCTCTGACCATCCCCTGTATCATGTCTGCAGTCTCTGACCATCCCCTGTACCATGTCTGCAGTCTCTGACCATCTCTAGTAATATGTCCACATCCTCATGGCCGGGTCACCAGGGATTTTTTTGGAATGAAAGCTGCAGATTTAGTCCTCATTCACACAGGCCGTTTGCCCAGCTCTCCTAGATGCCTTTCCTGCTGGCAGCATAATTTTGGCGTTTGTAAACCCGTGTAATGTGTTTAGGCGCATCAAGCGCTTGGGCGGTAATTAATTTCAGTGGCCAGAATAAATTATTACTCCAGTCAACGAAATGAATTCACGCTCAAGCGCTGAAAACGAGAGTTAATGCGCGCTTAGAGGTGTCTACATGCGTCACATGGTTTTTTTTTTCTGACAAAATGCTGCTTCCAGGAGGAAAGGCATCTAGGAGAGAAGCCAAACAGCTTGTGTACATGAGGCCTACACCGCGTTCCAAATTATTCTGCAAATTCTATTTAAGTGTCACAAAGATGAAATATTTTGTTTTTCAGTGTAACTCATGGATGGCATTGTGTGTCAGGGCTCTTTTGATCACTGAAAACAATCTCGGACACCTGTGATAATTAGATTGGCCGGTGAGCCCAATATAAGGAAAAAACTACTAAAGGAGGGCGTTCCACATTACTAAGCAGAGCACCATTTTCAAGCAATATGGGGAAGAAAAAGGATCTCTCTGCTGCCGAAAAGAGTGAAATAGTTCGATGCCTTGGACGAGGGATGAAAACATTCGATATTTCACGAACACTTGAGCGTGATCATCGCACTATGAAGAGATTTGTGGCTGATTCAGAGCACAGACGGGTTGGTGCAGATAAAGGCACATTGAGGAAGATTTCTGCCAGTTCCATGCATCGGATCAAGAGAGCAGCTGCTAAAATCCCATTACATAGCAGCAAACAGATATTTGAAGCTGTTGGTGCCTCTGGAGTCCCACGGACATCAAGGTGTAGAGTCCTCCAGAGTCTTGTAACTGTCTATAAACCTTCTATTCGGCCACCACTAACCAATGCTCACAAGCAGAAATGGCTGCATTGGGCAGAAAAATACATGAAGACTAATTTTCAAACAGTCCTGTTCACTGATGAGTGCTGTGCAACCCTGGATGGTCCAGATGGATGGAGTAGTGGATGGTTGGTGGACGGCCACCCTGTCCCAACAAGGCTGCGACATCAGCAAGGCGGTGGTGGAGTCATGTTTTGGGCCGGAATCATGGGAACAGAGCTGGTCGGCCCCTTTAGGGTCCCCGAAGGTGTAAAGATGACCTCTGCAAAGTATGTGGAGTTTATGACTGACCACTTTCTTCCCTGGTACAGAAGGAAGAACTTTGCTTTCCGTAATAAAATCATCTTCATGCATGACAATGCACCATCTCATGCTGCAAAGAATACCTCTGCATCAATGGCTGCTATGGGGATAAAAGGAGAGAAAGTCATGGTGTGGCCTCCATCCTCCCCTGACCTCAATCCTATTGAGAACCTTTGGAGCATCCTCAAGCAAAAGATCTATGAGGGTGGGAGGCAGTTTACATCCAAACAGCAGCTCTGGGAGGCTATTCTGACATCTTGCAAACAAATTCAAGCAGAAACTGTCCAAAAACTCACAAGTTCAATGGATGCAAGACTTGTGAAGCTGCTATCAGATAAGGGGCCCTATGTTACAATGTAACGTGACCGGTTCAAATGTTTAAAAAGTTAAAATTTTGTTAAAAGTTTGATTGAAATATCTTTTGATTTCAGTAAATATTCTGCAAACACAACAAATGACAATTTTCAGTTCTTTACAACCTAGAAAGTGTTTTGAAACTTCCTGTGTGCGGAATAATTTGGAACAAAAATCCTGTTATCATTAGGAGGTTTGTTCAATAAAATGTGAATTGTAGTCTTATAGTTGTAACATGAGAATTCTGCTGACTGTTATTTACATCAATTATTGAGGGAAATGAGAAAAATATCAATTGCATAATAATTTGGAACACGGTGTAAAGCCCATGTACAGAGGACACTTCGGAACGATGGAAACTGACTGCTGGAAAACGTAGGTTAAAAAACGTCTGTTTAGCTGCGTTTGCATACCCCGTTTAACCATTTGGCGCCCGGCCTATGGCCGAATGGCGGCTGCCAAATGTCATCAGCGTTCCGGGTGGACGCCATATGGCGTCCTCCCGCACATGCGCAGATTGCACTCCTGCAGAGCCGCGCAGCGGCGCGATCTGTCACCGGCCGTGTACCTCGGACACAGCCGATGACAGATCTGAGTACCGGCCCCCGTTGCCGGTACCATGTGACCTGCTATGACCAATCACAGCAGGTCACATGACAGTTGTATACAATGGATGGCTTCATTCATGCCATCCATTGTATACTAGTGTCTAGCTGTGAATGGTCACAGCAGGTCACATGCACGTCATGTGATTAGCTGCGGCCAAATCACAGCTAAGCACAAAAAAAAAAAAAAAACCCTGAATGAATCGATGTCATTCAGGTAAATGATTGCTTATAGCAAAGTAATTCTTTGCTATAAGCAAACTGTGTAAAAAAAAAAAAAAAAAAATACTGATCACTTCCCCAAAGTAGTACCGCGCAATTGTCATTCAAAGTGTGAGAGCGCTGAAACCTGAAAACTGGCCTGGGCAGGAAGGGGGTAAAATTGCCCGGTATTAAAGGGGTTAAGAAGCATTTTTTAAAGATAACCTCAGGAGACCTTCCAAAATGCCCAGAATGCACTGAAAAACAGTAAAAGATTAACTATTTCAGACATTTTGAGAGGAATAGAGAGAGCAGAAGCAGAGAGAGCAGTATGTGTTGAGATTAGCTGAGATTGGGTGCATGTCTACTTTGTTTTATTTTTTGGGACTTTCGTAGGTTTTAAATCCACATTTATATTGTATAGGAAGAAAGAACATATATAGGTAATGTTGATCCAGGGAATATCCAACTGCCTCTCGGGGGATCAGGAAGGAATTTTTTCCCTGCAGAAGCAGATTGGATTGTGCTTTGCTGGGTTTTTTGCTTTCCTCTGGAATAACTGTGGGTATAGGATTATAACTTTTTTTTTTTTTTTAATAGTTGAACTGGATGGACTTTTGTCTTTTTTCAGCCAGACTAACTATGTAACATCAAGAAGAGCTGTCAGTGACATCATTTGTCCCATTAGCCAAATTTATTTATTTAATGGTTGAACTGGATGGACTTTTGTCTTTTTTTCAGCCAGACTAACTATGTAACATCTATTGTATAACACAAGACGTTTCCCTATAGTTGGAAATAAAGCTAAAGGGGTTCAAATCTGTCCTTCATAAGCAAACAGTTCTTCTAATATGAGCTCCTCAGATTCTTTTGTGACCGGTTCTCTTTAATTTGAAGCTGTTTTTCAGTCGGTATAAACTCTCCCTCCACCAGCCAATAAAAGAAAGTCATAGGAAATAGGAATCTCAGAGGATCACTATGACATCTTGGCAACACCCCAGTCCAGTAACGTGATCCCGACCTTTCATGCCCAGTGGCCAGGGAGGGGTCAGGCCCCGGGGACGCCTGTTTAGTGGCGTAGAAATGAAATGTGATAGAAGTAGGTCAGTTGTTGTCAGATAAAGGATGGCAGTGTGTTTGCGTCAGCAGCAGATTCAGTGACCGGCATTGTAATGGCTTTGTACGAACGCAGCACCTGGGGGAGAGTTTACGTGATGGGAATATAAAACACCTGGAGACGGCCAGATGAGACTCCATCATACTGGGAGGGGGACGCGGTCTGACAATGGGCACTCTGCAAACATGGAACGTCACTGTCCTTTAAAGAGGACACTAGTCATAGTTGGAAAATGTTTTTATTTGTTTTCTAGGAGAGCCACTAAAAAAAAAAATGACAGCTCATCACTTGAGTTAGGGTTAGGAATAGGGCGATGGCTAAGGTTGGGGCTGGGGTTAGGCGTAGGTCTATGGCTAGGGTTAGGA